TGAGCCCAGACCCCACTGCAGGGCTGCCCTGGGCCACCACTGCCACAGCTGCTCACCAGGTTTGATGTTGGCAAAGGCTAAGGTGAACTGTCCCACGAAGTCGTTCCTGGAGGTCTTGTCGTAATCCTCCACCACAAAGCGGATGAGGGCCAGCTCAGGTACATGGAGCTGGAACTGGAGCGTCTCATCCCAGCGGGGGTTAAACCCTGGGAAGGGAGAGCGGGCACTAGGAGGGTGAGGGAGAGCAAGGATGGGGCTGCCTGGGCCCAGTGGGGTTCCTGGTACCACCATGGGGCTCACCGTTGTTCTCAATGTACTTGGTCTCCTGGTGCGCCTGATCCGCAGGGACCCCGTGGATCTCCACGCGCACCAGTGGGTCAATGATGGCTTCGTCCTTGCTGTTGGCCACTTTGGGCAGCTGCTGCCCACTGATCACCTGTGGGAAGGGGCAATGACCCTGTGAGCTGGGGATCAGACAAGGCCATCTGCTGAGAGGCTGTTCGGCTCTTGGCACAATGCCTGGCAGTGTCCCCACCCATCTGGGACCAGCAGAGCCCCAGGACACTGTTACAGCTCCCTCGGGTCTCTGGCCCTGTACCTGGATTGTCAGGGTGATGGGGCCAGGGCCTTCCCGGCTGCCAGGGTCATTGGGGTTGAAGAGTGTCTCCTTGTCCCTCATGAAGGGTGGTTTGAGCACGTAGCCGCAGCGGCCGTTCTGGCTGAAGAGCCCATCACACAGGTCCATCTCTATGCCGGCTGTCTGGAAGTTCAGGGCCACTGCAGGAAGGCAGGAGGGAAAGGGTTCAGGGCAGCTTGGAGACCGTGCCCAGCCTGGAGGTGAGACCCAGCCTGTCCCCGTGGCCAGAGAGGTGCAGGGCCACACAGGGGGACAAGGCACCAGTACCCCTGGGCTCCCCAGGGCAGAGCAAGAGCCTGCAGCCAGACCTGGCTCCAGCTGGGATTGTAGCTGGCACCAACACAGGTGCTGCTGATGCCATTTGGCACAGGACCCAGGACATCTCCCCAGCCCACAGCCCCGATGCTCCCCGGCCATACCGATCTGGCACCCCACGTTCCACATCTCCTGGGGGCTGTAGTTAGAGGAGTCGGTCCGCATCCCGCTGGGGTAGATGCGTGTCAGCTGCCAGGTGTTGTGGTGGACAAATTCATTCCCTAGGGATGGAGTGTGAGGGCCACGCGGGTCATTCTCTGGCCTGCACAGCCACCCTCAACTTGTGCTGCCCATCCACTGATAGATCCATCCATTCAAACATCCATCCATCCATCCACTCATCTACTCATCCATCCAAACATCCTTCTATCTTTTCATCCCTCCTCCCATCTAGCCCATCTAGCCCATCCCTCCAACCACCCACCAATTCTTGTCCCTCTCCCCTCCCAGGAACACAGGTGTCCTGCCTTGCTTTCTAAGCCAATAACCCCAACTCACCCACCAGAGCCAAAACCCAGGGTACAGCCCCACTGGACCCTCTTTCTCCTGGACAGGGAAGAAACCTGGGTGTCTGGAAGCTCTAGCCCTACCCCTGAGGAAGCTGCCTGTTCCCTCCACCCTGGCCTGGTCCTCTGGTGCCACTGTACCCTCCCCTCACCCGCATCCCGGATGAGCTTCCTGGCCTTGGACTCGGCGAGGGAGGAGATCTCGAAGGGCCGGGAATGGCTGCGGGCCTCCTGGAAGCCCCGGAAGGACACGCTCTTGCAGTAGATGACACAGTCGGACAACGCCTGTGCCAGGCTCTCCTTGTCCTTCTGCAAGACAGGGCCACGTTGGGTCCCTCCTGACGGGAGTACCATCCCCCAGCACTCACCCAGGACAGGGGCTGTAGAGCCCAGGACAGCCAAGAGCAGCCAGGGATGTGCTGGGGGTGGAAGCATCCCCACCACGGGCAGCCTTCCTGCCAGGAACAGAGCGAGCAGGGGACCCCCAACATGGTGCCACCACATGGATGCTGTGCAAAGAGGGGGCTGGCATGGCCAGGGGCAGAAAGGGCTGTCCGCCCTGCCTGGTGATGTCCCTGCAGTCTCTGCCTCTCCCCTTGGCACTGGGTTGTCACCATGGCCCATAGCCGTGTCTGGGGGCTCAGTGCTCCTGGGCAGTCCCCAGCCCGGGCCACCCACCTTTGCCCTCCGTCTCTCCTCCTCCACCTCTGCCCCGTTGTCATCGTCAGACACATCAGGTGCCTCATCCCCTGGCCCATCCAGCCTGTCCTCCAGCCGCCCGATCTTCTTCCCCTTCAGTAGGATCTTGTGTTTCAGCTCCTGTGGGGTTGGGGATGGAGAAGTAGGCATCCTGGGGTGCCCATCTCCTCCATGGGATCTGCGATCACCTGGCACCCCAGTACCACCAGCTCCCTTCAGCAGCCAGGAGGGGATGGGGCAGGAAGGCTGTGCCCTGCTGTCTGGCTCTGCAGGGCATGAGGAGACAACCTTGGGACCCCTGTGAACATGAAGACACAGTGTCCCCAGCATCCCCAAGCACTCCAGAAGAGCAGGATGATGCTGGGACATCAGAGGCCTTTCCTCCTCTGGACAGCAGAGCCACCTCCTCACCCAACTCCCAGGCCAGATAGGGATGCCCAGTGAAGCGCAGCCGGGTTCTGTCCTTACCTCTGGGGACGGGAGCTGGGTGGGGACGTGCCCATCGGTGGTGGTGGTGAGGAGCTGTTCCCCCAGAATGGCCTTAAGCTGCTGGGCCAGGACCTCCTGCTGCTCCATGCTGCAGTGGTTCTCCAGGGACAGGATCACCGGGTAGTCTGAGCTCTGGGGAACAACGTGCACAGCTGGAAATCGCACAACTTGGTGGGGTTGGGGAGCTCTCACAAGGGCTTTGCTCAGGCACAATCAGTGCGAGGGTGGAGGCCATGGTGGGTCCTTGTATCTCCCTGAGACCTTCGTAGCCCTCCAAACC